TTAAGATTTAAATGTCAACTGCAGTTTAAGAATTATCATTGTAACCTCTTGAATTTTATTTCCTAGGTAGTAGTCACCTTATGATTAAGAAGTGGTCCTATTGTAGATCTTCTTTAAAAAAAAATTTTTTTTATTTTTTATTATTTTTTGGAGGGAGATGAGTCCTCTATTTAGGTATTTTTCACTGAGAAAAGAGGACTCAGAAAAGTCTTGTAAAGTTGTCATCTTATTATTTTTTTTAATCTCTGAGTTATTATCAAAAAACAAATACCTTTGAAAACTAAAGACAGTTGTCCTGGTGGGTTTAATTGTTAGTATTAACAGGGGATGACTTATAAGGAAAAATAAAAAAGCAAAAAGCTTTCTCCTGTTATTTCTGAAAACCAGCATTATACTAAGCTGCTATACATGAGTGAGTTGGGATATTTAAATATAAGCATAGATTTCCCCCCCTCTGTAGCAGTGATTCTTAAACTTCTCTGGGTCTGATGAGACTCTGGAAACTGTGAACTCTTTCTCCAGAGACGTTCACTTATGCACAACATTTCATGTATAGTACCGAGGGAATCAGGAGTTACTACTATTGCATTTTGATTCTTTTTATTTATTTATTTATTTGAGAGAGAGAGAATGAGAGACAGAGAGCACGAGAGGGAAGAGGGCAGAGGGAGAAGCAGACCCCCTGCCGAGCAGGGAGCCCGATGCGGGACTCGATCCCGGGACTCCAGGATCATGACCTGAGCCGAAGGCAGTCGCTTAACCAACTGAGCCACCCAGGCGCCCTGCATTTTGATTCTTAACCTTGCACCAGGGAGAAACAACTGAGACAAGGAAGTGTTTCAGCAAAGATGTCCAAGAAGCCACTGATTTCATGAGACCTCGATGACATTTGAATCATGAGATCCAAAGATTTTAGATTAGTGATCTAGAGAGGGCATTAAGCGTTCTAACTTTGAGTTCTTTTTTCTTCTGAGTCCAAATACCTTTAGGACCTGGTATGCAGCCAGTGCTTGTTGGCGTAAAAAGACTTTTTCTTGGCTGAGTTTTCAGCGTTTTCTCATGATGTTCCCTTATGCGTTTGGCTTTGTATTTGTGTTTCCCAGTGTCACTGAGTATGGTCAATCCTAAAGACACCCAATGGGGCCCATCTAGTAGAGCGAGCCCATCATAAAGTGACTTGTTTTTGCAGTTTTATGCATTTTACAATCTGGCATAGTATTGACATGTTCAAACGCCAAACCACAAAAGCTCATTAGGATAATTTGGCTTTGGGCAAAATTCTCCATCAATTAAGTTCCATTTTGTTTTTTGTTTTTTGGGGGGTTTTTTTGTTTGTTTTTTTGTTTTTTGTTTTTTTTTGTCCTGGGCTTATTTTACTAGAATTGATTTGTTTTCAAAATCTATAGTTTTGATTACTCATCCATTTAACCCTATCATCAGGCTACTTCCCTGGAATCTAAACCTCATTTCTGGTTTTTTCATCTTCCAATCTCTATATAAATATTTAATACACATTCAGCACTTTTCTAGTGGTCTTCTAAACTTTTCCTGGTCTCCGTTCTATCCTTGGTCCAATCCATACCTTCCAAACCTGTCTTCCTGAATTTACTATCCTGATCCCTCCTTGTTTGGATGCCCAGTGTAGCACCACTACTTCCATGAGAAACTTAGATCTGACTACATTTTTAGTAATTACCTAGTACCCTTTATTTTGCAGACAAGTGGTAGAAGTTCTGTGGAGAGGAAATGAGGCAGAAGTGACTTGCTTGTAGGGTTTGGTGGTAGAGCATGTCCTACTGGACGTCACTGCCTCCCATTGGGCCTCCTTAGCCCAACAGTAAAGTCCTTCTCTAATGTGGTTTTCTTGGCATATTTCCTTCCTCTTGCCTGCTGGAGCCTGATTTATCTGTCCGTGGTCTCCCAAACACACCTGTGCTTTCCCATTTCCTTTTCTTTGCATATGACCCCTCCTCCATCTAGAACATCCCACTCTCTTGCAATTAATAGAAACTCATCTTCGTGTACATACCATGCTTAAGCACTAGGTGTTTCAAATGAGTTATTTAGTCCTTATTTAGTCTTTAGAAATTCACTAGCTAGATTTTTGTTATGATTCCCCTTTTACACATGTCGAAATTAAAGCAGATTAAGTAACTTGCCCAAGATCTGAGTTAACACGCAGGAGCCCTGGATCCAACAGTGTGTCCCCAGAACCCCTGTGCTATGATTCCTCCGTCAAACTAACATCTTCTGAATCCCAGGCCAGAGGCTCCCTCCCTCTGCACTGTCAGACTTTCTGATCAATGTACATCAAAGAAGCTGACTTTATCGCAAAAATATCTGTGTTCTCTGAGTGCTCTTCAACACACCCCCAAGTGCTTAGAAAGTCATAAAATAATTCATGAAGCAACCATAAAAATCTACACCTTGACTTCCTAAGTTCTCTTCCAAATGTAATTGGAAAAGAACCAATGTCAGCCAAGAGAGTAATAAAGGGAGACTGTTCTGGAGAGGATGGTGCTGAGCAAAGCATGGAGGGCTGGGTTTGTATCCTCCCTCCATCAAGAACTCCTGATGCCTGCTACCTGGAGATACCAGTTAGCCCCCTGGAGCCTCCATGTCTTCATCTATAAAACAGACTTAATAGTATATATCTCATGAGATCATGGCAAAGGCTGTATATGAAAACTTGTTATAAATCACAAAGCATTTTTCAAAAATAGAATTTTCATCCCATCGGAAATTAAATCTCCGTAAATCAGTTTAAGACAGAAATTATTACTATAGACCGCCCCCAAGTAGTAAGGTATGGAGATTTCAGTGTGTTTCAGTAAGGTTTCTTTGACTTCTTTCAACTGATTCTTATATATAAATTACTAATAAAATGGAATTGGCCATATCCCTTACATTTTTTTCCGCTCATTAGGTTTATGTATATACTCCGGTCCTAAGCTTTCTGAATACTAATTCTGTCAATTTTATATAGGTAGGTAGATACAGATAATGTGAATTATTCTTAAGGAGGGGCTAGAATGTCAAGCAGGTTGTGTTCAGAACACCGGCCACTTCTTGTCATGTTTCTCCATCTGGAATGGCTTTAATTAACATGGTTGGTTCGTAACATAGTAAAATGTTGCTGTTCAGTCTAATTCCGGTGTTTCTCCCTGCAAAAGTGTCAGCTGTGTCTTTGCCAGCAGAGCTTACATAAAATGGGTCATTTTGCTCTTCAAAAATGGGCATGAAGATCCAAAGACAAAAGAAATTTTAGAAGCCTGGTGGGAAATTTGACCGAGAGGAAGGAAGTACCCAGGACAAATGTGCAGAGAGTGGATGAAATGTGTAGTAGAACCACAGTGGCGAGGGAGGCTTGACTGTCAGAGAGCTGAGTTTTAGTCCATACTTGACACCCAGGAACTGTGCGACCTTGGTCTAGTCACTTGACCTCTTTGAGCCTCAAGCTCTTTGTCTGTTCAATAGAGATAATATGTCACAGGGATCAGAATATTGGATGTGATCCTGCCGCGTAAGCCCTGATTGAGCACAGTACCTGGCACATACTGAGAAAATATCAGCCTCGAGACTGAGATGAGTGTGAGGTGGTACCATTAGAGGGATCAGTTCCTACCTTGGCTCCCTTCTGACTCACTTAGGCCTTTGCCTATATTCCTTTCTCACCAAATTGTTCTCAGATTCTAGAAGCTTTTGGCATGGCCAGGAAGAAACCTACAGATTGTGTTATGGGAGACTTGTCAGAGGTGACCTAGTCCAGCAAACATGAGCAAGATCCTACCTTAATATGGGGAAGAGCAAAGATTTCAGAGAAAGGATGAAGGGGAAAATCTGCAAAAGTAAGGTTAGACCTGCTGAAGATGTAATAGTGCAAAACCACTTTTTTACACCATATATTGTCTTAAGACTCATGGTCTAAATCAGTTGTTGGCTGTATTTAGCTGGAAATTGTAATCATGGTGGTATGACAGAGCTGGTGCTGTATGTAGGAAAGGAGATAAGAGAACCTAGAAATCTAGAACCTAAAACTCTGATAAGAGAACCTAGAACCCCAGGATCCATACCTGGGAAGTCAGTTGCCAATATATCCCTCAATATAGAATATGGATTGTTTATGATGTGTTTGGCACATTCAGTTATCACAGTTCATAAATTGGCTATTTGACATGGGGACCTTCATCTCCATTTTATAGATGAGAGAAAGAAACCAAAGTACAGAATTTGATTTGGTTCCAAATCAGGTGTTTGTTCAACACATGCCACAGTGACTGATGGAGATGAGTTAGATATTTTTTAAAAGCCTTTAAAAGAAGCTAGGCAGACATTCGACACATTTCCAATGTTCAGGCCTATGTAAGCAGATTAAGTTATCTCACAGAACTGAATCTCTACAAATTATTTAATTAGAAACCATTTGCATTTCATAAGTAGTAGCGTTCTTTTGAGTTTCACTGACATTTTTTTCTAGGATCAACAAGTTCTCAAACTTGCATCAAAATCACCTGGAGGACTTAAGTAAGATTCAGTAGGGCTGATGTGGCCTGAGAATTTGCATTTTTAGCAGTTCCCTGGTGATGTTGACACATCATTTTGAGAACGATTGACTAAAAAAACCAAAACAGAACATTGTATTACTGATTCTTTGGTGAAACAGTATGAAAACAGTCCTGGAAGGGATTCCAAGACCACAGATAGAAATTGAAATTTAGATGTTTCCAAAACTCACTGGATTATACTTATACTCATTACTGAATGTGGAGTCTAAAAGACTTGTATTATTACTGTATTTTTGGAGAGTGCTTTTGATTACAAAAGGAAATCAAGAATGGAAAATCACTATGAAAATATTGAAAAGCAATGGTAACTTAAAAACAATATAACAGGTTTGTATGTATTTTTTTCCCACTAAAAATAGTATGATTAATTGCTATGTGTGAATTTTCTCATGGATTTTTTTTCCCTTTTTTTTCTTCTTTTTTTGGTCTCTGCAGGTGGCAAATCTTCCAAAAGACTATAAGATAGCCCTCAAATATGTCCCCGGGATGGATGTTTTGGTAAGTAAACTGTACATTTCTGAGTTCCTTTTTAGTAGCTGACAAAAGAGATGGGATCATTCTATTGAGACAGGAAATTACCAGCCATTTAGGAGTTAGCTAATTGTCAGTATTTGAAGAAAGTATCCTTGGAATTCAACTTGGATGGTTTTGTTTTTGTTTTATCCTCAAGTGACTGCTAAACTTTACTTAAGGGTAAGCATTTCAGCACGTGTCTTAGACCTGTTAATTCTAAAGTGAAAAAGATCATCTTCCTTAGAGCTAGCCACAGATTTCTCTTTCCTTTAGCTTCCTCCTAAAAAATGCTTGAGTGTAAAATTGGGCACATTTTTTGCTTATTCTGAAAAGGTCCTTTATAAGTCTCTTTCCTATTTAATTTGAGACCACCATGTATTTTATCTCAGAATTTATTAGTCAAAAGATTCTGAGAAACTAACAACATAAATATGAGGTTATGATTATAAATACACCTTTATTGCTGCAACCAAGAAATTTTAATTATTTTCCTGATTACAAGTTATCAGAATTCATACATGAAGAAATCTTGCAAGCATAGAGATGCCTATGTACCCACCGCATAGCTTGTTAAACCTTACCATGGTGCAATATTTGCTTCAAATATATTTTTTAATGAAACATTATAAATATTACTAAAGACCCCTGTATTGCCTCTTTCTTGTCTCCACTGGTCCCCACTTTGTCTCTTACAGACAATTTGACTATTAGGAACAAGTCTTCTGTGCTGGAATTTTTCATTCCACTGCATGTTTTCAAGGCTTGGCATGGGGATAGCATCCCTTGGGGTTGTGTCCAGTGCAACAAGCCTTAGTAACGCTGCCTGCTCTTTTCCATTTACTGCAAATCTGTACTAACACATAAGTTACTGTATTTTTTGCAGACTTAATAGCATTATACTGTATATACCACTTTGCACCTTGCTTATGTTTTGTAACACACATTTGACATGTGCTGATCCATGTTGATTCATTTTAACTGCTGTATTGTGTTCCTTGAGTTAATTTAAAATCATTTGGGTGACTCCGCAAGTAGACATCTTTCCATGATTTATGAAGTACTGATTACAGATCCACTTTGCGTAAGCTGTCTTAGGCTTTGAGTACTTTTTGTGGGTTAGTCAATCAAAATTATTACCAGTTTCAGTGTGTTAACACGTCGCTAAGTGCTTGTGCTTAAAAAGTCTTTCAAAGACTGACTCTAACGTTATCATTTCAAGAGAATGTCAAAGGCCTATTTCTTTTCATTAGGAAAGTAAACATTTTAGTTAGCATGAACTATCTAAAGTTCCTTAGAACATTTCTCTTCATGTTGAACCAGATATCCTCAAATCTAGGTCAGTGTCTGTCCCATTGAATTAGGGAGAGTTCTCTGGAAATAGGAATGTAAAATCATAGCAGACTGGAAGTTAATTAATCATTCAATTACTCAGGGAACAAGTACAGTATTTGTTTAGGAAAAAATATGGAGCCAGCACCTTACCAGATACTTTAAGAAACAAACACATCATGTAGCCTTATGTGCAAAAGACTTTAATAATAACTAGGTGTGGGGGGATGATTGGGCCTTTATATAATGCTTTTTTTTTTTTTAATTTTCAAAATGATTTCACATATTTATCTCCTTGGATGATTAGAAAAACCCTTCCAGGAAGGCAAGATAGCTACTGTGATTTGTGTGATTTCTGTTTTACAAATGACACAAACTGAGGTTTACAAGTACTTACCCAAGTATTTACTAAAAAGTGACAGTCTTAAAAAGAAACCTTAGGTCATCTGACATTTAACCTTGGGTTACAGAATGTGAGTATCTAAATAATTACAATAGCAAGGGAAGGTTTTTGTCTTTTTTTTTTAGATATTTTATTTATTTGAGGGAGAGCAGAGGGAGAGTGAGAAAGGGAGAAGCACACTCCCTGCTGAGGAGGGAGCTAGATATGGGGCTCAATCCCAAGACCCTGAGATCATGACCTGAGCTGAAGGCAGACAACCGACTGAGCCACCCAGGCGCCCAAAAGGAAGGTGTTCTAAGTGAAACATTCAAGTAATAAAGATGTACCCTGACCCTGACTGGAGAAGCATTTAGGTGTGTGATTGCCAAACTGACTCAAAGAAATCATGCAGCTCTTAATGTTAAACTGAAAATAACAAAATAGATTATTTTGTGCTGGTATAATCATAGATTGTGCTAAATCACAGATTTCAGTATGGGCTGGTGGTAGCAAGAGCCAAACTTGTAAAAATAAAGCTGATTCATTGCCACATTTTTTTTTCGTGCTTCTGTAATTGAGAAAAGTCCACTATTATTTGATCTTGGCATACTGTCCTGGCACAACTGGAGAAACTTTGTTCTTGGCTACCACAATTGGCAAGAAAAATAAGCCCGTGCAGAAGGCTTTGGGCAGAAACTGGTCGTAGGCTTTGTTTTACCTTTATTTTAAAATGTGAGTTTCTGCCAAGACCAGAGGAGTTTCCCAGTGGAGAGGCCAGTGATGATTTGTCAGTGGTCAGAATCCCAGCTGCCTTATCTTTTGTTTCTAAACAATAGAGGGCGGAGTAGAAATCAGAATGGGTACCAGAAAGATTCTTTGGGGCCAAAGCAATAAAATTCTGCTTGAGGCACCAGGCAGAAAAAGGCTCTAGAATAGAATACAGTTCATTGTCATGCTTTTGCTTTAAAAATCTGCTAAATACTCCTGGGGGGGGGGGGGGGCACTACTTTTCTAAGAGACCTCCTAGAAAATTACCTAGCAAATTCTCTCTCACAAATAGCAGGATGTGACCAATCAGTTGGTACTTAAATCTGATGATAATTACCAATTCTATTTTAAACTCTTGAAACTATAATATTGCCAGACTGTTCGGATTTTAAGTCACTAACCATAAAAATCCTAAACGTTTCTGATCCTTCTATTTACCAGTAATGTTACCACAGGAAGACCAAAAATTGGGTTGCTGAATTTGGGCCACACATCTAGTCATTCTAATGTTTATAAAATGATATAAACTATGACTTGCTTGTAGTATTTGAGTAAAAAAGACATTTCAGTTTTAATTAGATTCATCAGTTTTAACTTTTTATTCAGAAATAATTTCAAATTTACAGAAAAGTTATGAGTTCTAAGAACACTCACAAACTCTTTAATCCATATTCATCTATTTTTAACACTTTGCCTCATTTGCTTTACTGAACGCTTGCTTTCTGTGCACAGGCTGTTATTTTTCTAAACTCACTGAGTCACTTGTATACTTAATGGCTGTTTGCCCCTCAGTACTTAAGTGTGTATTTCCTAAGTAAAAGATTTTCTCTTATGTAACCACAGTATGGTTGTCAGTTTCAATAAATTTATCAATAACCCAAATATTTAAATCTATTGGCTGTATTTCAGTTTTATCAAAATTTATCTTTTTTTTTTTTTTAAGTATTTCTTTTCCTCCAGTACAAGATCCAGTCTAGGATAATGGTTTTTGCATTTTTGATATTATGTGTGATAGAATAATGGTTCCCCAAAGATGTCCTAGGCTGTGAATATATCACCTTATGTGATAAAAGGGACTTGCAAATGTAATTAATGATTTGGGGATGGGGAGTTTATCTGGGATTATCCAGATGGGCATGATCTAATCTTGTGAATCCTTGTAAGAGGGAAGCACGAGTGTGAGAGCCGGAGAGAACGATTAAAAGATGTTGCACTGTTGGCTTTGAAAATGGGGCAAGGGGCCACAGGGCAAGGGATGCACGTGGTCTCCAAAAGCTGGAAAAGGCAGGGCGCCTAGGTGGCTCAGTTAAGTTGTCTCCCTTCAGCTCAGGTATGATCCCAGGGTCCTGGGATTGAGCCTGGGCTCCCTGCTTAGCAGGGAGTCTGCTTCTCCCTCTCCCTTTGCCCCTCTCCCAGCCCGTGCTCTCTTTCGCTCTCTCTCAAATAAAAAAATAAAATCTTAAATAAAATAAAATAAAAGCTGGAAAAGGCAAGGAAAGCAATTCTCCTGTAGAGCCCCTAAAAGAAACCTAGCCCGTGTGAACACCTTGATTTGAGCCTAGTAAGACCTGTTTTAGATTTCTGACCTCAGGAAGGGTAAAATTATTATTTTGTGCTGTTTTAAGCCCACTAAATTTGTGTAAACTAATATCTCATGTCTCTTTAGTCTACTTTAAGAGTTCCTCAGATTTTGTATGTCAAGCCATGGTGCTGCGTAAATGATGAGGCATCCTCAGCTTATCACACCTAGAGGCACACAGTGACCATCTTCCCCTTGAGGTGCTTAAACAGATCCCCTGGTTAAGGTGTTCCACTAGTTCTGTGTATTTCCTTGTTAGCAACTCTCAAACAATATTTGAGGGAGATGTCTTAAGACCATGTACAGTTCCTCATCAAAGTTTCTCTTAAAAATTTAGCATCCATTGATGATTCTTACCTAAACCATTCTTTATGTCACATCAGTTTTTAATTATTTTTAAAGGCAAGGTTGAACAAAGAAGCCATTGGGAATATGTGACATCATTCTAAGCATCATCCTGCGGGCCGCCTTCCCTGAGCAGCACCCTTCCCTGGGTCTGCAGGATTCCAGTTCTCAATTCTTCCCGCCTTCTTTTGCTGGGCCCTGCTGCCTCTGGGCTCCTCTCATTTCCCTTGCCATTCCAGCACTTCCCGTTTGAGGTTTTGACTCTTCTTGAGTAGACAGAGTGATTAAACAAACAAACACATACCTAATTATTTTACCCCTCCTTCTTCATATGCTTTGAATGTCTGTATGCCTGTAGTTCTTAGGAAACAGAAAAAAGGAGCTCCTGAAACAAGGCCCCCGAGACCCTCATGATGTGGCACCTTTCCAAATCCTCTTCCAGCCCCAAGTCCCCACGTGCTCCCTGTGGCCCCTGTTCCTCTGTGCGCAGCTTCCTTTGTACCTAATCGGACCTTTGATTCCAGTAACTCCAGACTGATGGTTTCATCTTCACTTGTGTAAGGGAACCTTCCCTTTCCTCCT